CCGTGGCAGCGCCGCCAAGGCCGCCGTCCCCACCCGCCCCGCCTGGCCCGGCCGCACTCACGTCCCGTCTGTCATCGCGACCCGCTGCGACGGACGCTGCTGAGCTGAGCCGACTCCGCTTCGCCCCGCCCCCAGCAGACATGAGCCCACGCGCGGGGCCCAATGGCGCGGCGCCGGGGGCCGGGCCTCGGCGCAGCCGAGGGGCGGGCCCACCCCGCACGCTCTCTCACCCCCTTGAGGAAAGCTTGAATCCCGCAAGGACGCGCTGCCCTGTACTTCGCGGGACGTGTCGCGGGTTTCCAGCTCACAGAACAGGGGTTTAGAGCCGACTTTCGCGCGGCCCCAAAACATTTTAGATTTTTTTAAAATTGTTTGTGACCCGAAAGAGCTGCGCGCACGCGTGCCCCCGCGCCCAGCGCAACGGCCAGAGGCCTCCCGCACGACCAGCTCCGCGCGGGGTCTGACCCGCGTTTAACGTCTTAGTCGCGGCCGCCCGCGGGACCTGGGGCAATACGGGCTGGGCGCGTGGCCCAGGAGTCAGGCCAGGCCTCTGGACCACATCTCCCAGCACGGCCCGTTTCACTGTCAGGTTTCGGCAACTAAACCATCACCCCCTATCTGGGCGAGGAGCGGCCGTGGACACCCAGCAGGACTACAGAGACCTGTCAAAGAGTGGATAAGGTCCGAGCCAACGGCCATCCATACCCGGAGAGGCAATGGGCGCCACCAGGTCACTGTGCCCAAAGAATCTCTGATGATGCAAAGCAACTCAACTAACCTGGTGTGGAGGCAGAGTAGCGTTGTTGTGACAGCAGCTATAAGTGGCCTCAGGACTGACTTGTCTTGACTTGACTTGCGTGGTCTAGTGTGAACAAGCCTGGGACAAGGGCTTTCCCTAGCTGGAGGATCCCATCTGCTGTTCCCACAAAGTAGTGATGCTGCAATAGGGACAGTTACACCATCCTGAGTGCCAACTACAGGTCTTGCACTTCAAGAAGAGCACCTGGGGGCAGGATTGGTACCAACTTTCAGGTAAAGCAAGTTATAAGACAAGCAGCAGATTGCGATAGACCCCGACCTGGATTTCATCGGTTGCACCTTTGAGACATACTCTGAGCTGTTCTCACACTTTCAAGGGCATCCTTCAATCCCAAACCCAAACCCCCGTCTTCTGCTGCCTGGCCACTGAACAAGCCAAGATGTGCCAGGGCCAGTTCCTTGGCCTATGGCAGGGGTGGGCAAAATGTGGCCCAGGGGCCAGATGTGGCCTGCCAGGCCATTCTATCTGGCCCACGGGTCTCCTAAAGTATTTAGAAAATTAATACTTAGGCAGCCAGGGGCATATATCATACAGCCCTCAATGGCTTGCCAAAACTCAGTAAGCGGCCCTCCATCCAAAATAATTGCCATCCCCTGGCCTATAGCAATGGTGGGCAATGATTTGGGCCTGAGGGCCACTTAGGGAGTTTTAATGAGTTGTCACAGGCCAGGTCAGCACCCCCTCCCCCTGCTCATCAAAACTCCCTAAGTGGCTGATCAGATGGGATAGGGCCACAGGCAGGCAGGTGTCCAGGAGCGGGATGGGTGGGCAGGGCCAGGATCAGGGTGCAGGATTGCAGGGTGGTGACAGTACAGAGCCAGGGCCTAGAGCAGAGCTGGGACCCAATGCCCCCACATCCCTGTGACAGGTGCCAGTTCCACAGGCAGGGCCCTGCAGGGAGCAGATCACAGCTCTGCCCTGGGCCCCAGCCCCCTGCTGTCACAGCCCAGCAATCCTGGAGTCTTTCCTGGAGACTGGCAGGGACCCACCCAGGCAAGGCACATGGCCAGGCAGGCCAGATGGGGCTGCAGGCAGGGAGGTGGGGAGCAGCATCACACTAATGCCACTCCCCACACGCTCGCAGCCCCATTCCATCTACTTAGCCACACGCCCTGCCCACACGGGTCCTGGCTGGTCTCCATGGAGACCCTACCTGCTCACTCCATCTAGCACTCCCAGCAGTGGGTGCGGGACAGATAGGCCACAGTGCTTGGGCACTGCTGGCTTAGCAGTGGCAAAGAGTGGCAGTGGAAGGGGCTGCTACGAAGCAAGTCCACCCACTGTGCTGCCCCAGCTCCACAGCACACCCGGGGGCAGCAGGACCGGCTGCACCTGCCAGCCTGGGCTGGCTGAGGACAAGGGACCCATGGGGAGACAGATAAAATCCCTTGGCAGGCCAGATGTGGCCCACAGGCTGTATTTTGCCCACCACTGGCCTACACTGTCTCAACTCTACCAGTCTCACCTGAGCCTTACCAACTCATAACAGAGGGGATTTTGCCAGCTTAAAGAATCACACTTTTGCAGCTTCCACTTCTGACCAAGCCAAAGTCTTGTGTGCCAGACTGTCAGCTTGCATTGCCCAACTAAGCCACCGGGGGACTAAAGCATCCTATACCTGGGAAACTTTAGACAAGGGCCAGCTATCACAGCAACTCTTAGATACTTGCCCTTCTCTGGCCATTTCCATTTCTCTCTAGAATTTTTGGGAAGAAAATCTTATGCATACAACATCCTGTCCCCTGATGCACATCTGACTAGCCAGTCAAGTGCCTTCATGGGCAGATCCTGGATTTCCTAGAGAGGTGCAGCACACTATCCTTCAGACCATGGGGGCAAGGCATGGCTGGAGCCCTCAGGTTGGTGGGGTACACCATATATCCAGGCAGGGAGCAGACACCTGAAGGGAAGGAATCCATCCCCTGTTGGCATTGCTACCATTGTCCCTGGCTCACCTGGGAACAAGGCTTGGGCTTGGGCGGAGGCAGAGCCATTCCTGCCCCACTGCAGCTCAAGGCTGTAGGGAACTGCTGCGCAGCCAGATGAACAGGGCCCAAGTCCTTAGGGTACACAGTACAGTTCTCATTTCAATGATCTATTTGAGCCAGGTTTCTAGGCCACTGAACAGAGATATAGGCTACAATAGTTGGAGCTAAAAAAATAAAAAGCTCACAGCTCTCCAGATAGTGTCTATGTACTCCTCTCTATGAAGCATGAAAAAAAACACACAGTGTGGCACAGAGTCTTTTCCCTAGCTCACCCCAATCTGACCATGTGCTATTCATATCAGCTAGGACAGGGGTTATCAACCAGGGGGTACATGTACCCCTGGGGATACTTGGGAAGGCCCCAGGGGTTACGCAGTGTGCCACTTTGCATTCAGCTGCTGGGGGATCCCCCTCCTCAACTGGCCCCAGGGGGGCCCTCCCCCTGCTCCACATCCAGAAGGGTACCCACCAGAAGATGTACATGCCTCAAAAAAGGTTGAAAACCCCTGCACTAAGGGGAAGGGAAAAGATGTAATGAGGCCCATTTAGGCACCCCCTTAGATCATGAAGAAGGGGAAGGAACCTTGAAGAAGAATGAGAACAGGCTGAGGCTCTGCCCTTTGAGGGGTATAAAACAAGGGCTACAGGAATAAGGGGCAGACGTGCTCAAGCACTGGTGGAGGGCAGTTCTTGTATCAATCAAGGCTGTCCAGGAGAGAGCCAGGTCTCTCCAAATTACCTATGGCCCAGACAGGCTGGACTGGTCAGGGTCTATTCAGAAGATTAAAAGAAGACAGAAGCCTGGCAGAAGCTGAGGAAGCACAAGCATCTGAGTGAAAGCAATCCTACAAGGATGGGTAGCAAACTTAAGAGGATCTTGCAGAAGGCAGAACCAGCTACGGAACACTGCACCAGGAAACCTCACCTGGAAGAGGGGCCACATTGGACCTGAAAGGCCTCTCCTGCCAGGGCCTCATCCACTGATGGAACAGGCGAGGAAGATGATAGATGGGAGGGGAAGGGACCTTTTTGGGATAGGGATCACAAGGACTGCACTGCATCCAGAGAAGGGGGCAGTGATGGGCAATTGTAGAAGAAAGTCACCTTTGCTTAGTTTCTTAGTTCAATGTAATGTGGCAGCTTGGAGTTCTAGAGGGCCATGGAACATAGTTTGTGTGTACATAAAACTACATTGTACTGAAAACAGTCCTGTGATGAAGCTTTTATTTGGAGACAAAAGGCCTTAAAAAGAAGGATTCTTGGAACAAAACTAAAGTAAGAAAGATCAAACCCAAAGATGGACAGCATATCTGATTGTATGTAGCACTGGCTGATTCACAGATAGGCACCAATCTAGGACTGAAAGAAAAAAAAGAGTTTGTTGGAGTCACTAGTAAGAGCACTATAGGGTGCAACTTGTACATTTACACCTATAGCCACTCACTGTGTCACTGATGCCCAAGCGCAGGCAGAGGTGGCTCAGTTCAGCTTTTCTCCAGCCAGTATCTCTGTGCTATCCACGTATTGAGGCTTCAGCTTTCCAGCCAGAGAGCTGCTGGGCTGCAGGCATGAGAAGCACCCTTGTGTCCAGATGGGGAAGATGTTTTGGTAGAAGGTATAGCTGCTGGCACAAGTCTTGTTGAACATGCCAGCAACATTCCCCTGAGATGGGATGGAGAAAGAAAGGAAGCAAGCTCAGCAGGGGGCCTTGGGAACAGGCTAGCATGCCCACCAGCAGCAAACTGGTAAGTCTGTCCTACTACTCTCAATACACACATTCACTCACCAGAGTCAGGACTCTCAGCACAGACTCCCTCCAATCCTACCCTACTCAGAGCAGGCCGCACACTTGGAGCCACCCTCTAGGGCCACTACACAGCCAAAAGCTGGCCAAAACTTCCCAGCTGGAGACGACCCTTTCCCATGACAA